AAAGAATTACCCCGACGCATGCAGACGAACTGACATTTTATTCGTTACACACATCGCAGATGTAGCTAAATCACACAAGAAAAGATTCCCATCTGAACATCTGAGCTGCTCAGCGCAGCTCGCTGTCAGCGCATATGTGCTCAGCGAGCTGAAGTTGTGGAGATTGGTTTGGAGCGCATCGCAGAACCAGAGTGCATGCGGGATGATTCCTCCCACTGAAGCGAGTGTTTTCCAAACCCTGTCTTCTCAGAGAGACTTGTCACTTAGAAAATGTTCCCTGATTATGAAACTTTGGCTGAATGGTGCTTGTTCCTGTCTCCAATGTGGCGACACATCCAGGAGGAGAATCCCAGAATCTCTTCAGCTCAGACAGCGCATATGATTACGCACAAGCGTGACCCGTCAACCCGGTCTCACAGTAAGACCGGGTTGGGCCTGTTCAGGTTTACGCAGACAATCTTGACATAGAATTGACTTACAGATATCAAATTAATTAAGTAAAATATAAAGCATTTTATTTAAATATCCATTCATTAATTTACAAGAACAGAGAGCCACATCAGATGGATGGAAGAGCCGCGGGTTGACATGTTTTCTCCAGGACCAGAGAGGACGCAAACTCGATACATCTCTTTTATTGTAAGGTAATAATTTCTCTGAGTTTTGCGGTTGCGGGCGGGATTAGACATGCACGCTGCAGGTGCGGGCGGGAGTGTAACACACACGTTGCGGTTGCAGGCGGTAATTGTCAGAAATTCAGCGGGAGCGGGCAGGAGCGGGATGAAGAAAACAGTCCCGTGCAGGGCTCTACTGCTGCGTTTGTGTTTCAATTTTTTAAATGAATTCGATTAAAAATAAAGGCGCCCGGCCCGGCCCGGCCCGTGTCCGAGGTAATTACACAGTCATTGGCCCGAAGCCCGGCCCGACCCGAGGGCCTAGGGCTTCAGTGCAGGGCTCTACTGCAACCTTCCGATTACGGGGCGCGCACTTAACTCCTCTGCCACCGTCGCCCACAATAGATTGCACCAGGAGCTGGGTGGCATGTTGTGTTAGGTATGATCTGATCTTTCATATGTTAAACAGCGCAGAGGCATGAACGAGCAACAGAGGCAACATGATCTTTAAAGGTCAGGTGTTCATCAATCACAACACCTAGATTTCGAACTGCCTTTGAAGGAGCCAGTGATAGGAAGTCATTTTGGATTGAGATATTGTGCTGAATTGATGGTTTTGCTGGGATGACAAGTAGTTCAGTTTTAGAGAGGTTGAGTTGGAGATAGTGGGATTTCATCCATTTTGATATGTCAGAGAGACAGTTTGATATCCATGCAGACAGTTTGGTTGTCCGGTGGAAATGACGGATAGAGCTGGGTGTCGTCTGCATAGCAGTGGTAGGAGAAGCCATGTGATCGAATGATCTCACCCAGCGAGGTGGTGTATATGGCAAAGAGAAGAGGTCCTAGTAAAGCCCTGGGGAACTCCTGTGGCAAGATGGTGCACGGTAGAGGATTGTCCAAGCCAAGATACACTGAATAATCATCCTGTGAGGTACGATTCAAACCAGGCATGTGCTTTCTCTGTTATGCCCATGCTAGAGAGTTTGGACAAAAGAAGCCATGGTTGACAGTGTCAAATGCAGCCGATAAGTCGAGCAGAGCAGGATAAGCACTGAGGATTTGGCAGTCGCTCTAGCTTCTTTTAAGGATTCAGTCACTGCTAACAGAGCAGTTTCAGTGGAGTAGCCCTTTTTGAACCCAGATTGGTAAGGGTCAAGCAGACAGTTTTGTGAGAGGTATTCTGTGATCTGCTTGAAAGCCACCCTTTCAATGATTTTGGACAGAAAAGGGAGGAGAGAGATAGTTCTGTAGTTCTCCACATGATTTGGAGGAAGAGATGGGTTTTTTTTTAGCAGCGGTTTAACCTGAGCATGCTTGAGAGAGGTGGGAAATGTACCAGATGTCAGTGAAGCGTTGATCACATGTGTGACTGCTGCGGCTACTGTAGGAGCAATAGCTTGGAGCAGCTTAGTCGGAATGGGGCCAAGTGGGCATGTAGTAGGGAGGCTGCACGTGAGAAGTTTGGACTGACAGTTCTCAGTGACAGGGGCAAAAGAGGAAAATGAAGCAGTAGGGCTTGAGATGGCTGGGCTAGAAGGAGTTTGTGGTAGCGAATGTTCACGAGTGGCCAGTTGAGTAAACTGTTTGCTTATAGCTGCCACTTTGTCAGTGAAGAATGAGGCAAAGGTGTCAGCTGATAGATTGTTGGTAGGAGGTGGAGATGGAGGGGTGAGCAGAGTTTTGAATGTTGAAAATAGTTTCTGAGAGTCAGTAGAGCTGAGAAATGTATCAGTATAGAAAGCTTTCTTTGCATCAGTGATGCTGGCAGAGAATGAGGACAGTAATTCATGAAATTTCAATTGATCACCAGGATCTTTTGTTTTGCGCCATTTCTGTTACGCAGCTCTAAGATTGGTACATAGAGACCGGAGGGTATCATTTAGCCAAGGGTGCGACTGAGAGGATCTAGCAGGTCTAGTGGCTAAAGGGCACAAGTTGTTAAGACAAGAGCAGAGTGTGGAGCAGAGTGACTCGGTGGCATCATTCACTTCATAAGCAGACAAAGTGCTGGGAGATGGAAGAGTGGAGGCAACAAGAGAGGAGAAGTGGTTGGGTGCCAGATTACGGAGGTTGCAGCGGAATGAGACAATTGGGGAGGAAGCAGTGGACCTCCCTTGTAGAGTCATGCTGAAATGGATGAAGTAATAATCGGAAAGATGCAGCGGTGTGACAGAGATTGTGTCTATGGCACAGTTTCTGGTGAAAATGAGGTCAAGTGATTTTCCAGCTTTGTGGGTTGGAGGACTTTGTACTAGTTTTAGATCAAATGATGACATTAGTGACAGAAAGCCTGATGAGCTGGGGTTGTCCAGGTGAATATTCATGTCTCCAAGGACCATTGTGGGACAGTCGTGCTCAGGAATGGAGGAGAGCAGGGTGTGGAGTTCATCAAGAACGTCTACGAGTTGACCTGGTTGGCGATAGATGACAACCAAAAAGATTTTTTTCGGTACAGTTACCTGGATGGCATGGTAGTTAAAGGAGTTGTATTTAGAGATGGGTAGCAACTGACTGTATATCCATTTGTTGGAAATTAACATGCCCGTTCCACCACCTCGGCCAGATGCACGTGAATTGTGGGAGAAAGTGTGGTTAACTGAGAGAGCAGATGGGGTAGCATTGTCACATGGTTTGATCCAGGTCTCAGTGAGAACCAGTGCATCAAGTGACAGGTGGTCTGCATATGTGGTAATGAAGCCTGCTTTGTTTACAGCTGATTGGCAGTTCCACAGTCTCATAGACAGGTGGATGTCTTGGGGGGGGGGGGGGGGGGGGGGTTTAGTGAGCGGAGGTTTTGAAGGTTGTGGAAGCGGTTTGCTGTGTGTGACCTTCCTCTGAAGCCAGTGATCAGAGGTATAGGTTAATGGCACATTTTGCAAGGTGTCGATGGAGCAGCGTCTGCATCAAGTTTGTTTGCTCTGTGGACACGCGCAGGTAGACATGCATGTCTATGATTATTGTAATGCCCTGTTTTCTGGTCTTCCCAAAAAGAGTACCTCAGACTTATAAATTCTTCAAAGTTCAGCGGCTTGTGTCCTGATGAAGACCAGGAAGCAGGACCACATTACACCCGTCTTAAACAAGCTGCATTAGTTCCTCGTACGTTTCAGGATAGAATTTAAGGTTCTTTTAATGGTTTTTAAATGTCTTTATGGCCTTTGGCCTTCTTATCTCTCAGAACTTCTTCTGAAATATGAGCCTACACGGTCCTGCGCTTGTCTGGCAGCCGTCTCGTTGTCATATCAAAAGTAAGGACACACACCCAAGGCGAGGTGTCCTTCCAGTTTCATGGCCCTCACCTCTGGAACACTCTGCCAGAGGACCTCAGGACTGCAGAGAATGTTCATGTTTTTAAGGCCAGGCTCAAGCTTTTAGCTGACTCACCTTTTTTTATAATAGGTTTTATTTCATTTGCCCTTTTATTTTAGCTTTTAACTGAATTTGATGTATTTTAGCCTGTTTACCCATTTTTTATATATTTTATCAGTGTTCTATTATATACTCATTTACTTAAATGACATATATTTTCTTATACATGAATTTTAAATTGTTTTAACTGGTATTCATTATTTGTATTATATTATTTTTACGTGTTGGTTTCTACTTGGTTATGTTTAATCAGAGTGTTTTAATCAGACATTTATTCATCTGGTGGTTATGCCGGATGTGATTTTGAAATTGTAATCTTAATCTCTTTAGGTTTTACCTGTGTTTCCTCTGTGGGGGCCAACTGACCCGGGAGAGGCGGTTGGCTGTGGCTGCCTGGGTGTATCTCGTGCCACTTCTTGGTGCCATGTGGTGGTGCCCGGGCTGCTGCTGCTGATCCTGCTGCTCCTGGGGCAGTTGGCTCCTTTCGATGGCTTTTCTGTCTTCTTTGTTGCCTATTGCATCTGTACTCAGCTAGTTGTCCTTTCGCTTTAGCTTTTAAGTGTGTGTGTGTGTGTGTGTGTGTGTGTGTGTGTGTGTGTGTGTGTGTGTGTGTGTGTGTGTGTGTGTGTTTGCATGGGATGGGATTTATGGTGGGGGAGGGAGATAAAGAAGGGATGTTGGATGTTGATCTGTGGGGGACGGGTGGGAAAATGAGTGATGTGTGGTTGTTTTTAATGTTGCACAGTGCTTTGAGTTGCACTCGTTGCATGAAAAGCGCTTCATAAAAAATCCAATTTGATTTTATATTTAATCTGATTCATAATGGTTTAAAATGTAAAACTTTGGTATGCAAAACAAAACCAGCAGATTACAATAACTCTGCAGGAAGAACCCACATGAACAATCACATGATTCTAACACACCTGCCTTTTTAGAAAATCCAGATAAATGTAAATTAATCTTCAGTACTCGTCTTCTGGAGTCACAAAACATATTTGCTGTGAATCTTTCCAGGAAGTGCAGAGTCGCAGGTGACCTTTAATGAGAACGGCGATGCTCCTGGACGCTACGACATCTTCCAGTATCAGATTAATAATCGGTCCCAGGCAGAGTACAAGGTCATCGGACACTGGACCGACCAGCTACATCTTAACGTAAGAGGCTTCCTTCCAAATGTGTCTGCATGCTTGTGAAAGAATCCATGACATGTAATGCAGACGCTACTTTATGCCCCATTTACATCACTGTAAATGTAATTGTTTATGTTGACATGGAGCTTTGTTAGTCCCTAGCAGCTAGCTGTGGCACTTCCAGTGTAGCCTGGGACATGTCTGGTAGGACCAGCCATGAGCATCAGGGTTGGGTCCCGCTGGTCTTAGATGATAGAAATGTGTTCTTGTGAAGAACAGCTAACCTGACTCACCCATGGGGACATCTCAGCTTAAATCACTGAAATAGCTTAAATCCCTCTGGCTGCTGATGAGACCCAAAAAAGCAAAAGTTTGTCGTCCAACACCAACGAAAGATTCTTGTAACTATTAATTAATATAAACTTAAAAGTAAGTTGACCTGCAATGTTTCTGAGCTGTTTGATGGTGAACCCGGACTGACTGACTCTGGTCCCTTATCTCCCCCAGATGGAGGCCTTACAGTGGCTCACTGATGACTTGTCCCTTCCAGCTTCTGTGTGCAGCCTGCCCTGCCGTACCGGAGAGAGGAAGAAGGTTGTAAAAGGTGTTCCGTGTTGCTGGCACTGCGAACGCTGTGAGGGGTACCACTTCCAGTCCAGCGAGTTCACTTGTGAGCTCTGTCCCTATGAAAAGAGACCCAACCAGAATCGCACCAGCTGCCAGCAAATCCCTATCATCAAGCTAGAGTGGCATTCACCCTGGGCACTGGCCCCTGTCTTCATCTCAGTCCTGGGCATAATCACCACAACTTTCATCATCGTCACATTTGTTCGATACAACGACACACCCATTGTGCGTGCCTCTGGTCGGGAGATGAGTTACGTCCTGCTGACGGGCATCTTTCTCTGTTACATCATCACCTTTCCTATGATTGCTGCTCCTGATATTGTTGTGTGCTCTTTCCGCCGTATCTTCCTGGGCCTTGGCATGTGCTTCAGCTATGCTGCCCTGTTGACCAAGACCAACCGGATCCATCGTATCTTTGAGCAGGGGAAGAAAGCAGTGACAGCCCCTCGCTTCATCTCACCAGCCTCACAGTTGGTCATCACCTTCTCTCTCATCTCAGTTCAGCTGCTGGGCATCATTGTGTGGTTTGCTGCTGACCCACCACACACATTCGTGGATTATGGAGAACAGCGCACACAGGATCCTAGGAATGCTCGTGGTGTACTCAAGTGTGACATCTCAGACCTTTCACTCATCTGTTCTTTGGGATACAGTATCCTCTTGATGGTCACTTGCACTGTTTATGCCATCAAGACACGCAGCGTGCCAGAGACATTCAATGAGGCCAAGCCCATTGGATTTACCATGTACACTACCTGCATCATCTGGCTAGCCTTCATCCCCATCTTCTTTGGAACAGCACAGTCAGCTGAGCGGGTGAGTAGACCATGAACTTTAGACACGATTTTAAAGATGGCAGAATCTCTTGGTTTCTCCTGTTTTCAATGCTTTGTGTTTTCTGTTGGATTTCTGGTGATCCAAACCATCTGCCATTCCAAAGTTAGTAAAGGTTCCATAAAAAAACACCCAAACCTGTTTTAAATAAATAATCCTCTGCACCAAATACTTATTTGTTGAGTTACTTCTGAGTGATTTAGTAGTTCAATTATATACAGGTGAAATCATGAGGAAGTACTTTCCTCATTGGGCTGAACTTCCAAAGGGGGAGGAGTTGATTAACACCTTATCTTGTTAGTCCAAAGAAACGAGTGCTGCTCAGTACTCACTAGTGTTCAGCACTAATTCAGACAAAGACGTATATGGTGTCGAAACATTATTGTCTTGTTTTTGCGGCAAATAAAACTGTTTACTTACCTGAGTTCTCCATCCATCCTGCTGGGTATTTTGGCTGTCCATCAGCTGTACAGCGGATGACGTGCAGAGTACTTTATCCTACTAAGAAGTATTTTAGAAGCCTCTGAAACACACAGTCCTGGAAAGACCTCATCCAATTCAGTGCTGACCTCATACCTATGCGATTGGCTCATAACCCAACCATCAAACAGTGCCTCTGTATGTGTGTAACTCCGTGCACACAACCCTCAGTGTGCATAAACACTTGTTCTCGGTGCGACAGCTGAACAGAAAGTGCAGCTGAACAGAGCTGCCTAGTGTCACCATTTTCTGTTTGAGAATATTATTTAAGGAGTTGTTTCGCGTGTTTTGCATGTCTGCTCCCGTCAGACACAAGCGATGTACCATATACTGCAGCCATCACATTCTGTGATTCTTTAGGAGGAAGCCTGAGGAAAAGGGTCGGACCTTTGAAGTTTTTAGTTTTATGTTTTTTGCTTGAACAGCTTTCAGGAATGCAGACGGCACTTTTAACCCACTTAAAACAAATTTCTAAATCTTTTAAATTGCTGAGATTAGAAAGCTCATCACTATTTGTTTCCACAACAACATTCTCAGAAGGATCTTCAATTCCCACCCTGGACTTGCCCTCCTGACGTTTGTTGTTCTGCGACAATTACAAGATATTTTAGTCAGGATTTTGTGTCTTACTTGTTATTTTCATGATGCACAAACATATTGCCTTCCTAGCTGACAGCAGCACGACCCTTCTGCTGCCTTTGTTAGCAAAACTCAAAATACTGCAAAACATATTGTTGTGGAGTTGCTAATTATTAGCTTAGATTAACCAAAATGTGCTCTGCTCCCTCCTTCTCGTGGGTGGTCCCAAGCCAATGTGGGTGGAGCCATGAATTCTATTTTTCCTTGTAATGTAGAAGAGACTATCAACAGGCAAGAGAAACGTAATCTGAGGTGTGTTGCTCCCCAAGGATCAAAGTTTTTTATTCTCTGGTGTCTTATTGCTGCTGCTGATTATAATTCCCACAGCTGGTGATGCAGGGCGGAGCCATGTAGAGCAGGAGAAGTTGGGTGCACCCTGTAGCACACCGGAAAGCGTGGTGCTGACAGACAGCTCCTTTGAGCATCTAATGTGTGGTGCTAAAGGGCTGAAGTGTCCTCCAGCACATCATCATGGCAAAACACAAGAATGGGGGAAAACGTAACAAAAAACAAATCAACAGTCGCACTTACGCCAAAGGTTATTTGACCACCCATCTCCATTGTTCGTGATTGGCACATCACAAAAATACGCCTTAATCCGTCAGAAAAAATAATGTTAACTCCAGGAGCCTCATGTATCACCTGTTCTCAAGCACAGATCTGTGCAGATATTGTGTGTGAAAATGTTCCTAAACATAAGAAACCTTCAGACCATACGTAGGAACAGCATCTAGTGGTGGAATGGGGGAACTGCAACACCGAACACATGTTCCTCATCCACAAATTATTGTTCCCACTAAATAAATAATTTGGTGGACAAACAGTTGAGACCCATTATTGGTGCTACAACACCCAACGGGAATCTGACAGCGTGGAATGGTTGTTGTGTTTTTGTAATCACAATTGTTACTCTTCCCATTTTTATCAATCAAATCAAATCAAAGATACTTTATTAATCCCAGAGGGAAATTAGAGAATGATGTTCTTAATCTTTTTTAATTCATTTATATTATTTTTAGTTTAATTTTATTGTATTATATGGTTGTCTTTGTGAAATGCCTTGTGATTTTGCTTGAGATGCACTAGATAAAACATTGTTCCTCCTCCTCCTCCTTCTTCTTCTTCTTCTTCTTCTTCTTCTTCTTCTTCTTCTTCTTCTTCTTCTTCTTCTTCTTCTTCTTCTTCTTCTTCTTCTTCTTCTTCTTCTTCTTCTTCTTCTTCTTCTTCTTCTTATTATTATTATTTTATTATTAAGTAGAGATGAACAATATATCGGCTTCGATATTGGTATCGGCCGATGTTAGTAATTTTTTAACATATTGGTATCAGTTCAACAAATAAAACCGGGCCGATATAAACAACCAACATTTCTTCCATCTCTTCTCCATTTGTTTGCCTGATTGAGAGGGTGAGGGGGTGATGCGTATTTGTTTATTCATGTGAACAGTGAATGAAATAATCTCAGCACCGTAAATGTGTGTATTGTGTGTACATAATAACGTAAATTCAGCTTTAATAATTTTCATTCTGTACAAAATCTGCTGATATTAGAAGCATTAATGTCAGTATATCGATATCGGCAAATATCAGTTAACTGCCATAACAGTGGTCTTAATATTGCATATCGGTATCGGCCCAAAGATTTCATATCGGTGCATCACTATTATTAAGGATCTGTCAGAGTGTGCTCTCTCAAGTAAACGTGTTTCTGTGAGCACACTGAAAGGAGATTTCCTGGAGCTCTGCTGTGATTTGGGACCCTTTGTGGAGCAACAGAAAATCTGCAGAAATCCAGTTCCAGTCGTATTCTGTTTTACAACTATGAGAACCCTCCAGAATCTTCTCTGCTCCCCAGTCACACACACATTGTCGAAGTAACCAGACTAAATGACAGCAGAGGCTGCACTCTCAGACAACATTTCCAAATAAAACAAACTCCAACCAGAATGACTTGATGTAATTAACATTAAAATGTAAAGGACAACCTCTCCTTTGTCCCAGCTGCATGTATACCTTCTGCAACTTGTTTGTTTCTTTTGCAGCCAGTGTCTCCATCTCGCTGTCAAAGTTTTTTTTTTATTTTTTGTGGAAAAAAACCCTCAGGAGCTGAGGATGTAGAGTGACCAAATATGGTTAATTGAGGGCACTTCTGTACGTAAATGACTGCGAATGGACATGAGCACCTGAGTACGCATAGGTGGGATTTATCATCAGACGATTGCAGAGGAACGTGCCTACGAGAGGCCGTTGCATGTTTCATAAATCAGGATGTTGAGCGTTTGTACAAACATTCTACATTCCATTAGTAGGAAGGAATATGGGAATATTTATGTGAACGTACAATAAATGAAGGCCCTTGACTGTTTCAGCTGTTAGTGGCTTTATCCTAGAGAACCAGATATTGGTTCCATATAGGCTCATATGTATTAAATTGTTTCTGTCAGGCTGGATTTTGTGTTGTCATGTGTTGACTGGAGCGTCTGATAGTTTGTTTCCTAAATCACATAAACAACCTGAACTTTGCTGAGTTATTATTGTCCAGAGATAGCCTGGTGTCTCACTGGCTGCTGCAGTAACAATCAGGACCTTTTCTAATGCAACATGATACCCGTGGAGCAGGGGCGCAGATAGGATTTTCAAACTGGGGGGGGCAAAGTTCCAATGTACCCACCCCCTAACACACACACACACACACACACACATGCACGTACACACACACAAACTATTGCAAGAGCCTTAACTAGTGCTCAGTCAGTTTGTTTAATTTCAACTAATGGTTTACAAAAAAATACTAACACTATTATTGAACCGTCACCTTATCGTGGTGGAGGAGTTTGAGTGCCCTAATGATCCTAGGAGCTATGTTGTCGGGGGCACTTAGTGCCCCTGGTAGGGTCTCCCATGACAAATTGGTCTTAGGTGAAGGGTGAGACAAAGAACGGTTCGAAGGATCTTTCATGGCGGTTAAAACGAAGAGTCGGAGTACCCGGCCCGGAGGGTTACCGGGGTCCCACCCTGGAGCCAGGCCTGGGGTTGGGGCCCGTGAGCGAGCGCCTGGTGGCCGGGCTTTCACCCATGGGGCCCGGCCGGGCCCAGCCCGAACCGGATACATGGGCTCATCCAACTGTGGACCCACCACCCGCAGGAGGAACATGAAGGGTCCGGTGCAATGCGAATCGGGTGGCAGACCAAGGCGGGAGCCTTGGCGGTCCAATCCCCGGACAAGAAAACTAGTTTTTGGGACATGGAACGTCACCTCGCTGGCGGGGAAGGAGCCGGAGCTTGTGGCAGAGGTTGAGCGGTACCGGCTAGATATAGTCGGACTCACCTCGACACATTGCATTGGCTCTGGAACCCGAGACCTGGAGAGGGGTTGGACACTCTACTTTGCTGGAGTTGCTCCGGGTGAGAGGCGGAGGGCTGGGGTTGGCTTTTTGTTAGCCCCGAGACTCTCTGCCTGTGTGTTGGGGTTTACCCCGGGGGACAAGAGGGTAGATTCCTTGCGCCTTCGGGTCGGGGAACGGGTCCTGACTGTTGTTTGTGCTTATGGGCCAAATATCAGTTCAGAGTACCCACCCTTTTTGGAGTCCCTGGGACGAGTGCTAGATAGTACTCCATCAGGGGACTCCATTGTCCTGCTGGGGGACTTCAATGCTCACGTGGGCAATGACAGCTTGACCTGGAGGGGTGTGATTGGGAGGAACGGCCCACCTAATCTGAACTCGAGCGGTGTTTTGTTATTGGACTTCTGTGCAAGCCGCAGTTTGGCCATAACGAACACCATGTTCGAACATAAGGATGCCCACCGGTACACTTGGTACCAGGGCAGCCTAGGTCACAGGTCGATGATAGATTTTGTAGTC